CAATGACTATGATTAAACAACTAAAAATTCTCTATTTTTATTCCATAATGTAAATGTCCAAAGCAGTCAAATTGGGCCATAAATGTTTACTTAAAGTAAACTTACCAAAGTTTCAAATGAAAAAAGTTCCCTATTTCACTCCCCAATTCAAATTATATGTCCAGCTGATTGTATGTATTTCAGTTACTTCCATCAATATGCATATTGAGACACACACTAAATCCTAGATGCTACTTAAAATATATGCACTAAGATGGCTTATTAATGTAAAGCATTTTGTGGTTTTAAAAATAATATATATATTGGTTTCTAGTCAAGGGGAAAAATGTCAAATGTAGAGGTAATAAATCCAAAAGTGAAAATACATATTTTTCTCAAAAATTCCCATGAGTGTGTATTTATTCTGAAATTCAAAGTAATTAAAGTCAAGGGACCATAATCTCATAAGACACACTCATTAATCATTCAGACCTTGGGAGTTTGCATGTGGACTTTTAAGTTACTGCCCTCCCACATAAATTAGGACTCACCTTATTATTCAGGTTGAGAGAAGAATTTTAATGTTATGATCCATACAAGCAATTTAATAATTCATACAGTATCCTATTTGCAAGCCAGAAGATAAGACTATATCACAGAAGAAGACACTGGGATAAAAATACCATGCTTTCATACGGTAACACGATTCTGTAGCTAGGAATATATTCTATTTATTGGGAATTGAGGTTTGATTCACTCATATTTTAATTCATTTCAAATTTACATTGCAATAGTTAGTTAAATTATGTTATACATTCTAGAAGCATAATCCTTGTGTAGGATATTTAAATAATTGTAATTTTTGAAAGTTGTAGTTATTTATCAGCAGTGAGAAATGTTACTGCATAATTTGGTCAAATGTGCCAAATTAATACTGAATTGGTACATTTAGAATAATTTAGCCAGTGGATTATTTTATATTATTATGTAATAAAATAAATAATTGAACTTCATCCAAAATAACAATTAATTAAATTTCCCTAAGAAAAGATACGGCTTTGAAAGGCAGATGTTCAGTATATTGATTGAACATCTAAAGTATGCCAGGAGGCATGCTTCTGGGGAAGACAAAACAAAATAGAAATTTAATCCTAATTTCAAAGAACTCACAGATCTGTATCAGAATAAAATGGAGCACAATTATTATGAGAGACATACAGAGATTTGGAGAAGTGGGAGATTAAATTTGAATTAACATGATGATATCCTCACTATGTTAACAACAATGGCCATGAGCTGACAGAACTGTGACTCTGAGAAATTAAATTATTTGTTCATGGCCACAAACTAGAGAGTTTTTCAAACAAAGTGAGCTTAAAAGCTTTACCTTTCTGCTAATGATAATTCATTGTTGTAATTAACCATCCTATTTAAATATTAAGCAAAGACATTAAAACATAATGTAGTGCAATGATTATTTGCTATCTGGTCTAAGAACACTATGCCAGGAGAAATTCCCATCCCTGACACTCTAACTGGGTTCCCCCCAGACAACATCAAGATCAATGTGAGCCTGAGAAGAAGAAATGACACATCAACCACAGACTTCATTTTCCATGGACTATTTCCTGATAGGGGAAATATCATCTTCCTTATTTACTTCATTCTTTTGAGCTACATCACTGCTCTCTTTGGAAACACCACCTTGATCCTACTAATTTGGGTAGATTCTCGACTGCACACACCTATGTACTTACTTCTCAGCCAACTTTCTGTCATGGACTTAGTTGTCACCACCACCAGCATTCCAAAGTTGATCACTGACTTCTGGGTGGACAGGAAAATTATCTCACAGGTGGGCTGTGGAATACAGATGCTACTGTATGTGACTATAGCAGGCTCTGAATGTATCCTCTTGACTCTGATGTCCTATGATCGATATGTTGCTGTCTGCAACCCACTAAGGTATTCAGTGATCATGACCCCCAGAGTGTGCCTACAAATGGCTGTTTCCTCCTGGACGGTGGGATTTCTCAATTCCTTAGTCCACACAGGATATGTGATGCATTTACCCATCTGTGACTCCAGAGAGATTGAACACTACTTCTGTGAACTCCTAGCTATCCTGCAGCTCTCCTGTGATGACACTTCTGTGTATGAAATGATTTTGTTTGTCACAGGAATAGTGTTCTTCCTCATTCCCTTTGGACTTATTCTGGCCTCCTACAGCCTCATTTTCTTGACTGTCTTCCGTATGAAATCTAAGAAGGGGAAGAAAAAGGCTCTGGCTACCTGCTCCTCCCATCTCACAGTGGTAAGTCTCTATTTAGGTTCAGGCATCTTTATTCTCATGGTGCCTCCGGCCATGTACTCAGCAAAGCCAAGCCAGGCTGTCTCCTTGTTCTACAACATTCTCACCCCAATGTCAAACCCCATCATTTACAGTTTGAGGAACAAGGAAGTGGTGGGGGCTCTAAGGAAAGTACTGGGAATACTTTTCCAGATAAAAGACAGAAGATATTAGAGGGTTGACGATATATTTTATCCTAGCCCTTCACAAACAGAATTGATAAAAAAACACTGAAAATTATTAGCTCCAAAATCAGCAAATAGACTATATCAAACATGAGTTCCTATTATATTATGCAAATTTAGACATTATTAGTAGATTAGACTAGTAAATGTCAAAACTAGCAAACTCATTCTCAAGAATCCCTTCTCTATTTTTATGTTATTTTATGACATTTTAGTTTATCTCTAAACTAATTGAATAGGTTTTTATTTATGACATCGATTATAACTTAAGATTCTACAAGCTACGCAGCTTGAATCACTTTTGAACTGCAGCATTTGATGTTGTAGTTTGCTGTCAACTCAATTCTAACTCAAGGACAGAGTATAATCGCCCCATAGGATTTCCTAGGTTATAATGTTTACGGGAGCAGATGGCAAGGACTTTTTCCAACAAGGTGTCTCTGGGTTCCTGCTGCCAACCTTTTGGTTTGCAGACTAGAGCAGTAACCAGAACGCAACCAACAGCTCACTGCCCGCTCGTCAATTCTACTTAGAGCCTGTCAACACATTCCAAGATTGTACATCTTTAACGGAGAAGACAGCCTCATCTTTCTCTTGTGAAGCAGCTAGGAGGTTTGAACCACAACCATGCTGTCATCAGCCTAACCCAAAGCACTACCAGGGCTCCTAAAGACATACTTCGAATCAACTTCGTATTTGTGTATATAGGCATCAACATTAAAAAAGTGTGAAATATGCTCTCCGATATTCACTGCAGTACAATTCACTGTAGCAAGAAGCTGGAAAACACTCAAATGCCCATCAGTAGAAGAATGGATAATGGAACTCCGGTACATACATACAATGGAATGCTAGGCATCCCTAAAAACAGCAATGAAACAATGAAAACCTTCATGACATAGCTGAACCTGCAAGCTTTATGCTGAGTGAAGTTAGATAATCACAAAAGGACAAATAATGTATAGTCCCATTACTATGAGGATAAACACCAAGAAGAAGTCAGGCTTCTACTCTAGGGTCATGTAATCCAATCCAATCTCTCAAGCAACTAGGTTTAGAGCCTGCCTAATATGAATGAAGCATCTATCACCCCTTTTATGAGTGCAGAGGAGCCCTGATGGTGTAGTACTTACACATTGGCCAACGATCTGCATGGTCAGCACTTCCAAACCACCGGCAATTCTGTGAAAGACTGGGTTTTCTAATCCCATGAAGTGTTAGAGTCTCAGAAACCCACAGAGGGTCACAGTGATTCAGCATTGACTTGATGGCAGTGAGTTTAGTTTGGGGTTTATAAGTATGTCTTTGAAACCACTTCAGCAGATGAGCTCTCCCATCAGCTGCATTCAGTTTCTCAAGATGGGGGTTGGAGGGAGAAGGAGAAGACAACCTTGTAACTGCCATACAAAATTGTGCTAAGGTCCCTCCAAATTAATGGACACTCCTACCAGCTGATAAGTGAACCTTCCTAGAAATTCAGGAAGTAGGGGTGGGAGGCATGTATGTCTCAAAGAAGGCAAGTGTATTTCTTTTGGTGGGTAAATGGGGAGTTCTCATTGGTAAAAAACACCGGTATTTATATAGAACCCAAGGGGAGAACAAGACTGGTACTATTTTCCTAATTGGACACTTTTGACCTAGTATCTATATACTTACTTCTGGAACCTTAGACTCCGTTCTTTCAAGGCACACACCATCCTTCATAGGCCACACCAGAAGGACTCACTGTGGAAACCCCACGAAGTGAAATGGCCTTTATCTCAAACTCAACTGTAACCCTTGAACTTCAGGTTGAAACTCCCTAGTGTGGTGAGATAGAAGGACCCCTATGCCGAGGGAATAGAACAGAGTGCAGTTGGACTTTGCTTTGGGTCTCTTGCTTTGATAGTGCAGAGTGAAATATGTCCCAGGACTACCATATATTTACTATTTTAACCACCCCCCTTGCTATCTTATGACATGGTTTAATCTGGTAGGCATGGTTCTGCCTTTGTGAATGCGTGATATTGGAAGTTTTGCCCTAACACAGACACCAACAATAATGTTCAGTCACTTAAGAGTTTGATCTCCAAAAGTGAACAGTCATGTTTTATGATGTGAAGCCAGCCTGCATTTGTATAATTTCTTTTTATCAACAGTGTTTTAAATTCTTTATCATTGGCTAAATTAATGATAATATCAATGGAATTGCCTTATGGAATTACCATGGCGATGATTTATAATGCCCTATGTGATAAAATGATGATGATTTCTCTTAAGAGAACCAGATATATATATATATATATATATAAACTGATGATATTAGAATGGATTTTGAGCTTGCACTTAATTCTAGCCCCAACCTAAGAACAATTCATTCTTAAGTCATCGCTCTGAGTGCTGCTCATCCTCATGAAAAGATCACGGAAGCTATAGGGACTACTGCAAAATGTGAAGAAACCACATGGTGCCCAGCTAGCAAAAAGAATAGTGTCTGAGATCTTAAAACCTTGTCTAAAACAAGCAGCCATCCAAATGAGGCATCAGCTAGCTCCACATAGAAGAAGGATTTGAGACTGTTTTATCCAAGGAGTTTAAATAATAAAACCCAAATTGCCGTTAGGAAATGTTATCACAGCTTAAATTGTAAACACCAAGTTTTCAGAAGGCTGTGGATGACAGTGAAACCCCAAATTCCATTTGCAGGATCCCCACGTGGATTAAACCCCAGTGAATCAATCCCCTCTAAACATAAAACAGGGAAAGCAATAACTTTGCTAACAGCATGGTGGAGTTGACTGTGGCAGATGTAGTTAAGTTAAAATGCAGCACTGTACCATTGTATCTCCCTTTTGACTCATTTTAAAGTTGTTTCAGTTTTTTTAATATTTTCTGATTTCTTTTTTATTGAGATTTTTTCCTATATTTTGTCTAGTCATTGCTGTTAGTTTTTCTAGTTTGCTTGCTTCTTGTTTGTGTTTTGTATGATCTTCTGTGTATGAAATCCTGGATAGGCAGACCTACAGAGACAGTAACTGTACTGATAACTGCCTAAATGAATGCTGAAGGAAGTTGGGGCAGGAGGCATGAGAGGGTGATGGGGAGCTAACAACAACAGGTATGAGGAAAAAAATGTTCTGAATGGATTGTGATGATTGCACAAAGCTTTTTTTAAAAATCATTTTATTGGGGGATCATACAACTCTTATCACAATACATACATACAACAATTGTAAAAAGCACATTTGTACATTTGTTACTCTCATCATTCTCAAAGCATTTGCTCTCCATGTAAGCTCCTGGCATCAGCTCCTCATTATTCCCCCTCCCTCCTCTCTCCCCACTCCCTCATGAACCCTTGATAATTTACAAATTATTATTTTGTCATATCTTACACTGTCTGATGTCTCCCTTCACCCACTTTTCTGTTGTCCATCCCCCAGGGAGGAGGTTATATGTAGACCCTGGTAATCAGTTCCCCCTCTCTACCCTACCCTCCCTCGGCCCTCCTGGTATCGCCACTCTCAGCACTGGTCCTGAAGGGATCATGCATCCTAGATTCCCTGTGTTTCCAGTTCCTATCTGTAAGAGTGTACATCCTCTGGTCTAGATGGATTTGTAAGGTAGAATTGGGATCATGATTGTGGGTGGGGAGGAAGCACTTAACAACTAGAGGAAAGTTGTGTTTTTCATCATTGATAAACTGCACTCTGACTGGCTCATCTTCTCCCTGCAACAGGTAAGGTGATGTCCAGTTGCCTACAGATGGACTTTGGGTCCCCACTCCGTACTCCCCCTCATTGACAGTGATATGATTTTTTGTTCTTTGATGCCTGATACCTCATCCCTTTGATACCTCGTGATCACACAGGCTGGTGGGCTTCTTCCATATGGGCTTTGTTGCTTCTGAGCTAGATGGCCATTTGTTTACCTTCAAGTGTTTAAGACCGTAGACATTATATCTTTTGATAGCTGGGCTCCATTAGCTTTCTTCACCACATTTGCTTATGTACCCGCTTTGTCTTCAGCAATCATGTCAGTATTCCTGCATTGAGGGAGTACATGAGTGGAGGCCCAATGTCCATCTGCTACCTTAATACTAAACCTATAAATACATGCACATAAATATATTTCCCCATCCTCATATATAAATGTTTCCATATGTACATGCCTTTATTTAGACGTCTATAAATGTATTTTGCCTCCTAGCTCTTTCCTCTATTTCCTTTTACTTTCCTCTGGTCCCACTATCATGCTCAGCCTTCATTTGGGTTACAGCAATTCCTCTCAGTTACATTACCCTTGATCATGCCCTACCAGGCCTCCTACACCCTCCTCACCACTGATTTGGATCACTTGTTGTTCCCTTGTCCCTGGGTTTGTTAACACCACTGCCTTTCCCCCCACCCCATCCCCCTCCCATGGCCCCCCAAAACTGTCAGTCCTGTTGTTTTTTCCTCCAGATTGCTCATCCAGCTTATCTTATTTAGACAGACCTGCGGAGATAATAACATGCACGAAAATAAGACAGCAAAACCAAGCAGCAAAAGAAAACAAGAACAACAACAAAAAGCGTGACAAACAAAACAAAAAACACAACACAACAACAACCAAAAAAGAAAAGCTTGTAGTTAGTTCAAGGACTGTTTGTTGGCCTTTAGGAGTGTTTTCCCATCAAGTCTGATGGGATACCAAGCCCTGGCCCCAAAGTCTATTTTTGGTATTCCCTGGTGACTTTGTTGCTCTGTTCCCCTTGACGTTCTGTTGCACACCCTTAGTGTTTTGCCTTGGTGTGGTGGGATCAGATCGGGCACAATTCCCATACTCTGTCTCCAGTGTTGTCCCGTAGGGCTGTGGGTCAGTGAGGGAGGTCTTTTCTCATAGTGGAGTCAGCCATATGGTCTTCTCTGTGGACTGGCTACTCTGAGCGGGAATATCGTCTTCAAGGCTTGGTGGGCCAGGATGTGCTCCACTCTCTCTTCCTCCCCCTTCATCTGCTCCATGTGCTCT